CCCCCCCCCTCCCCCAACTGGTACCGATGAATGTAACAACATTATATGTGAAATTAATACTCTGCTGAAGCTGCTTCTTTGAAATGAAACTAAAATCCTGCTACTGAATATTTCAGATGCCCAGCAGCAACAGTTCCGCGCAGCAAGACGCGCTCCCAAAGCTCTAATCTTTTGAGCACTGTGTGATTTAGAATACGATGCCTGGCAGCTGTCAGTAAGTTTCAGCACAGTTCCAAAGAATCCCCGCGATTCTGGCCTATTAGTGCAATATTGTTAAGGTAAGACATGCCACGAAGAAGAGTTTTGAGCTGATAATATAGAAAGGATGAGGAGCATCAGGTAGCGGATTACTGAATGGAACTCATGCAGTGTTGAAAAAAAAAAAGTGCAAGAAAAGAGGTCATCAGATGAAAGATTAACTGTAATTACACGGATGTGAGCGTCTGAAAAAATAGGGGAGTGGAGAAAATGCTCGCTGCATCAATGGCAAAAAGAAACGTGACAGTGGAAAAACCGGTTAAGTAAAGAATCAAAGGGAAGAGAGGAAGCAATCAGATGCCGGCACAATCGTACAAACTGTGGCGCACATAACAATCAGAGAAAATCCAAAGTATCATTACTTTTAAATGCTTAAAAGCCTACAGTTTGACACATATGTGCGAGCATCCACCATTATTAGTCTGACACGGAGAACTGCCTTCCGGAATCTGATTTAAACTGACCGCACGAATACCCATCTGACCAAATATGACCGCGTCCGACACTACTGACAGTCGTTCACTGGGGAACGTTTCATTTTGTTGCGGCACTCGAAAAGCGGAAATTTTTCGCCCGTATAACGAATTGCAATACAATGTATTGCCTAAAAGCAGAATCTTGTAAGTATCAATGGGCATCAGTTCCAACAAGAGTCGTTCGGTGTATCGGTGGCGCATAGTTCTACTGCAATGAAACAGTCATCGATTTAAGTACCACAGTGACTAGTAATATTTGAAACTTTGGATAAAGCTGTATTTTACAATCTGGTTCTACACTCATGTTCCAGGTAGCTTTTCCAGTTACCCTAAAAAACACTGCATCTTCTCTAACTCGGACATTCATTCCACTTCCTACAAGAAATACGAGCCCAACAGTCGTCTCGAAAAAAGCCCTTGGCAAGGCTTTGGACTTCAGTCCATCCCAAATGTTGAAACTTTAGATTGTTTACCAACCCGACGATCACAGCGGATAGGAAAAATAAACGGTATTCATGAAAATAGTACAAATCAAAAGTGCCCAGAAAACGTACCCAAAATGGAAAGCGAGTAAGGATGATTTACACTTTCAGAAAATATCTGAACATCCAAATTCCCATTTAGAGCTGCCGACTTAATCAGTGATCGGCTTCCTTCCGCCCAGTACAGTCGTTTCTGTCTGCTATCAACTGCAATCCCATTCGGCCAAGCATCTTTTTCCAATGAAACCTGGAACACATGGATCAGGACAGTCAATAATTGCATCAATCAGTTAAAAACGGAAAAACTGTTTCATTTACAAGATTTGCTGAAAAAGTTGACATACAACCACTTGTCTGTGTGAGCCGTCCAGCCAGGCTTTTTCGATACGACTTGTGCTTTCGTGCCAATCCGAAAAATATATATAACCACCGTCTGCATCAACCGCTAAACCACGAGGCTGCTTTAAACCGTGCGATATTACAATCTGTCGACCTTTGCCCGACAAGCTTTGCATCTGAATTCAAAAATTAGCTGATAAATTTCGACTCCAGTAAATCCAAAATAATATTACTGCATGCAATAAAAATGCCACAGAAAACTGAAACCATTAGGAAGACATTATGTTTAAACATCTAAAAAATAATACCTTGATTTGCGCAACGTTACTATCCAACCAATAGAGATTACGATTCAACCAATCTACAGCCAAAGCTTCCGAAACCAAATTTACGGAATCCTCAATAAAAATCTGTAAAAATATTTATCTAATTATGGGCCGAAACATACAATTTCTTCTTTTCTTGTAAAAACGTTTATCGAATTACAAAATCTTTACACAAAAATTAACAATTCTTCCTTTATGGAATTTTCAAATTATGGTTTCCTGTACACCTCAAAATTTCCCATAGAATCTCCTGTATTGTTCCACTGTTGTTTCTAGTACTACATTCAATCTTTTTTAGTGAAAAACTGAGAAGGGCTTGTAATTAACTGGATTAAATGCATGTTCCATTTTATTCCTTACTTTCCAACGGCCAAAACCTCCCCCACAATTCACTCTCTACAAGAGGCAGAGGCACTAGAAAATAACCGGGCCGCTAGCACATGCTCTAATTCGTCAAAAGTAAAAACCAGTGAAATGCAGACCTCCATTTCTGTTCCATCTGGATTACACTTTCGGATCACACCCATATCACCATCAATCAAAAACAGCTTCCGATCAACTGGATCGAAATCAACGTGAACAATTTTTGTATCACGTATCTCGGGAGCAGCATTTGAAAATGGCATTGGTGTATGATGTACTGTATCCAAAGATATATAAATTAGGCCGGATGTTGTCGCCACGTAAAGTAAACGCTCGATCCCTGAAAAATCTGAAAGTAAAAAAAAAAAAAAAATTCATGATGAAAAGTCTTAACAGCTCAAGAAATTGTTCTATGAAATCGATATTAGTCCAAGACTGGTTGGTAAACGAAACAGAGCCCTGGGAGAATTCAGGAATATATTGCTGTGAAAAAAAAAGAAAAACTTAGTCACCATTCGGTGAACAAGTTAAGCGATCTTGCAGAAGACGTACTCCCACTGGACACAAACAGGATCGCCATGGAGCACCAGGAATCAGAACGCAGATGTGCGAGCAGCCGCCATTATTTGTTGCGCAAGGATTTGGTGATCGTCCTAAAAAACCAGTTCTAGCTCTCATAAACAAAAATTTTTTTAAAAAACAAATCTGCAATGCCCACTTCCTAAGCGACTAAACGTTACCCTTCCTACTCCCCTACCGTTACCTCTAATTCGATGTAAAATTACCTCTTTTCGCCCTCCCCCATCCCACCTCCCGGCCCGAATCTAAAACTATCTTCCTCCACCACTCCCTCTAGTCCGGATATAAAATAAGCTTTTCACCTCCCCCCCCTCCCCTTTTTTTTTATACTTCCTCGTTGGCCCCTCGAAATTTCGATCATCCAGAAGTACACGTCCGATCCCTTAATTTTCTCGCTCCAGAAGAATGCATTAAAAAGAAAGCTCACTCATCGGCTGAATTTCGGCGCTGAAAACATTTAAAGCCTCCACACCACTCGAATTTATCACTGCCCGGGTCGAATGATCACAGTTCGCTTTCTCACACAGTGTTATGCCAGAGTTCTGATTGGTCACTGATGTCCAAATCAAATAATCCTGGAATTCTGACGTTGATGAAAACCGAAAAAAGAAAGAATGCAGCCAAAAAAAAAAAAACAACGGAAATAGGTGAAGTGAAATAACTTTCAAAAAAGTACCAACACTGAAAACGTCAAGATAGAAGGCGTTAACTTTGCTGGCGACAGCATGGCACGATTCACGATCATACAGCGAACAACTCCAGATTTGTGAGTCATCCGGCGATGCTCGAGTGCGCACATAGTACAATCGCCGATTTGCCTTTAAAAAACTATACGACATAAG